AATTGACAGATCTCCGGCGATCAGTGGTCAGTCGCATTCGCACACTGTACTAAAATTTTGGCAAAATAGCGTATTGTAGCATAGTTACAGCGTAGTAAACAGGATAACCGATCCGCACATCGATCGCGACTGACGATCGGTCGTCTACTTTCACCGCGTCCTAAGGAGAGGAGAGAAACGGGATTGGTGGGGGAGAGCCGGATGTAATTGGGGGGGATGGGGGGGAGTTCCGAGTGGAAGAAGTGAGCTGGGGGGGTTCGTACGGAATGGAAGAAACGGGCTGGGGTTAGGACAAGCGAAAGAAACTGAAGGGAAGGGAGAGTGGGTAGGGTGGGTGACAGAGCGGGTACGCTAGAGGCGGGAGGGCAAAATTCATGACATGCGCAGATTCCGCATTGAGTCTCTCCCGCTATCACTCGAAAATGTCAGCGTACACTCAAGAAAAAAGGCTGAAAAAACAGACAAAGTAAAAAAAAAAATGCTGAAAAATCAGCCAAGGTGCATACAAAAATACTTTGAAATCAGCCTAGGGTTGAAAAAAAAGCCTGATTTGACGCTGAATCAGCGTAAAAAGGCTGATATCTAGGGCACTAAAGCCAGGCCTATCCTCTCAAAGATCCTCACTTTAACACAGCTCTACTGATCGCGGGATTAGGTTCAAAACCGGTTCCTGCGTCGCATGATAGTGTTCAATGATAATAAGGGTACATTCCGCTGTGGACAGCGTCCCAATCGATGTGTCCCAATCGATTCTACCGCACTGCATCTTATTACACCGAATTACACCCTAGTTTCAAAATTTTCGCTTCTCTGGTTTAGTTCGGTTCGGAGCGGTACACCCGATTGGGACATGTACGATTGGGACATGTCCAGGGCGGAATGTACCCTAAGAGAATGCACTTCTTAGACTGTAAAACTAGCAATGACGTTGTTTCTATCAACAGTACTATTTTATTTTTCCACACGCATGCTTCGCAGCTTGTAAACAAATGAGTCTGGCGCAATGGGATCCACAACACAAACAAGCTTCGACGTTTACGTCGAAAGGGTTGCGTAGGGTTGTATCCACTGCGTTTACTAAGTTCTTCATGATGATGTATATTAACTTAAAACATGACAAGATCGATAGTCCCTTATTACGGCGAAAATACATTTTCTAGAAATTTCTTCCCTCAAAATTGTTTTGAGTACTAATAATATGGTTCAAATTTTTTGTGATCATAAAAAAGATGAATTGTTTACGCCTAGTGCATATTCTATAGTTAGATCAGCGTACTATAGCGGGTTTTATGTTTGCAATTACTGTACCGTATCTGCTGTGTGGCACGTGACACTAGCTTTCAAGTCTAGTGTGAGCGATTATTTTTTTTAGTATTGCCAAATGCCTAAATTTGGTTTTTGCTTGCCATTCACCCTTGTGCTCATATTACAATGTATACTGTACATAGAAAGTTTCGGTTCCTCGTTCTGCGGTGGCAAAAAATTTCTCGCCAGCTCCACGACAACCACAACCAAGGGATATCCGTCCCTTTCACAGCTGTCAAACCGAATTTGACGCGCTCTTCATTTCTCGGTTCTTTTTCTTCGTTTCTCTCGAGAAGCACCTGCTTGCTCACTCTCCCCCCCACCCCATTTTCTTCTCTAGCTTTTTCTCCTAACACCCCGCCGTCGCTAGCACCTCCCACCCAGCCGTCGCTCTCCCTCCCATCCCCCGTATCCTCTTTCTCCCTCCTCGCCGTCGCCTCTCCTCCTTCCTGCCGTCACCTCTCCTCCTCCTTGTCGTCGCCTCTCCTCCTTCCCGCCGTCGTCGCCTCCCACTCCTCCCCGCCGTCGCCTCCCCTCCTTCCCGCCGTCGCCTCTCCTCCCCCCGTCGTCGCCTCCCCCTCCTCCCCGCCGTCGCCTCCCCTCCTCCCCGCCGTCGCCTCCCCCTCCTCCCCGCCGTCGCCTCCCCCTCCTCCCCGCCGTCGCCTCACCCTCCTCCCCGCCGTCGCCTCCCCCTCCTCCCCGCCGTCGCCTCACCCTCCTCCCCGCCGTCGCCTCCCCCTCCTCCCCGCCGTCACGTCACCCTCCTCCCCGCCGTCGCGTCACCCTCCTCCCCGCCGTCGCCTCCGGCGACAGGTGCACGAGCGCCAGCGCGAGTTGGTGCGCGAGCGCGAGTTGGTGCGCGAGCGCGTTGGTGCGCGAGCGCGGATTGTTTCATGAGTTACCGTGGTTTTCAGGTGCGTTCCCGGTCCTTTCATTATCCCTTCCCCCTCTGAAATTTCTTCTTTTTTTGCTCTCGTCGTTTTTTTTTGTGTGCCGATTGGTCTCCTCTTCCGTAGCTCTCTTCGTGAAAAAAGGGAGAGACGCGGAGCGCGAGGAAGAGCGTGTGCACGGGAGCGCACGCACAGGAGAGTGCGCGTGAGAGTGCGCGTGAGAGAGCGCGTGAGAGAGCGCGTGAGAGAGCGCGTGAAAGAGCGTGTGAGAGCGCGTGAGAGAGCGCGTGATATAGCGCGTGGGATAGGGTGAGAGAGTGCGCGTGAGAGAGCGCGTGAGAGTGCGCGTGAGAGAGCGCGTGAGTGTGCGTGAGAGTGCGTGTGAGAGAGCGCGCGAGAGAGCGCGCGAGAGTGCGTGCGATAGTGCGCGCAAGGGAGCGCGGGAGAGAGCGCGTGAGAGCACGCGTGAGAGAGCGCGTGAGAGAGCGCGTGAGAGAGCGCGTGAGGGAGCGCCGCCGGAGAGTGCACGTGAGAGTGCGCTCGAGAGTGCGCGAGAGAGAGCGCGTGAGAGAGCGCGCGAGAGAGCGCGCGAGGGAGCGCGCGAGGGAGCGCGCAAGCGAGCGCGCGAGCGAGCGCGTGAGGGCACATGAATTTGCGCATGAGGGAGCGTGCGAGAGAGGCGTGAGAGCGCGCGCAAGAGTGTGCGCGAGAGTGCGCGCGAGAGTGCTGGTGTGAGTGCGAGGGCGAATGCGAGCGTGAATGTGGATATGAGAGTGAGGGCGAATGTGAGGGTGAGTGCGAGGGAGAATGCGTGCCTGAGTGCTGCGGGTGTGTGAGGGTTTAGAGGTTGAGCGCGATGGTGCGGGTGTGATTGCAGTGGTGAATGCGAAGGCGAGTGCAAGTATGATTCCAAGCGTGAGTGCGTGCATGTGTGAGGATGATCGTAAGGGTGAATGTTGAGGTGAATGCAAGGGTGGCCGCAAGGTATTGCATGCATTCTGACATGCTGTTTACTATCAAGTCACATTTGTAAGATGCCAAATTTGAATGTTTCCATCACTCATCTTTCGTTTGTATATTGCATTCTTCAGCTTCAATTTCTGTTCCGCTAACGTCGTTTCTTAGTGTATCGGACCATTTGTTTCTTGTGCGTCATGGAATCTGCATTCTCTGATTTTGTTTCTTTGTGCAACTCATGCAAGTTGTATTCTTTGATTTTGTTTTTGTTTGTGCAGGGAGTGAGTTGCATTCGCTGATTTTTCTTTCCTGTGCAGGGAGTTCAAGCTCCAGCCTTCTTTTCTTGCGGAGAAAAGGGATGGGGAAAGGGAGATGAGGGAAATGAGGGAGGGAGGGAGGGAGGGAGGGAGGGAGGGAGGGAGGGAGGGAGGGAGGGAGGGAGGGAGGGAGGGAGGGAGGGAGGGAGGGAGGGAGGGAGGGAGGGAGGGAGGGAGGGAGGGAGTGGAATGGGGCACAAGCTAGTGATGATTTACACAAGGCTGAACTTCATTCATTACGCTTGCATGCTTATTACCATAGCTGTATGCTTTTTGCGTTGTGTGTGTCTGTGTATGTGTGTGAGTGCGTACATGTGCATATGTGTGTGGTGTTTTGTTTCGAGGTGTGGTGCTAAGTGCCTCGTGAATGCAACTCGGATTGTGATCGTCGGTGGGGCAGCTTTGCTAGCCTCTTCCGTACCATATCAATCTTAGTTGCAGCATTGATGCATTTAGTATTCGCTTTGAAACATTTTCAATCGTTGTCCTCTGTTTTTGTGACGGTTTGTGTGTTATCGTCTGTGCTTGTTTCGGGGGTGTGGTACTAAGTGCCTCGTGTATGCAACTGGGATTGTGATCGTCGGTGGGGCAGCTTTGCTCGCCTCTTCCGTACCATATCAATCTCAGTTGCTGCATTGATGCATTTTGTATTCCCCTCAGAACATGTACGACGATTATTGTACACCATCGATTTTGTACTCATTTGTGTATGTGTGTGTCTTTAGGTGGTACCGTTGTACAGATTTGCTGTGTTGTCTTTGTGTTCGTGGGCCATTTGGTATCGTCATTAGTGCTAGAACGATTGTCCAATTGTTCCATTCGCCGTACTTATCGACGATTATGGAATGGTTGGAAACATTTGTTTTCATTTTTCCGGGGAAGTTACCGTGAATAGTGATTTCTTTCATAATTGATGGGAGAAATTCACTGTTCACATCAGCCAACCGAAAAGTGAAAACGAATGTATAAGGTTGCTACGCAACCCAAAAAAACATTTGCACGCAGTTATTGTCTCATTTTTTATGATAAGTGATTAGATATCAAGTACAGTATTGCCGTATGCTTAATTCATAGCCCCTATCTTCTGAGTTTACAACTGATAAAGGCAGAAGTTGTGTAGGGTGCGGAATCTTTGGGAAGCGGAATTGATGTGAGGCACAAACTCTAAATATATGGTGGCTTAGTGTATAGCTGGAAATGTGGCATAATCTGCTAATTTATACTTTCTGACTGATGTAGACGAAGGCTGGGTGAGTGCTCCTTTTTGACAGAATCAAACACCAATCGTAGGGGATGAAAAGTTCATCCTCTTCCATGTCAGCCAAAATGTGGGGATTTTTGATCACATCAAGGTGTGGGGCTTGCTTGGCTGCTGAGCGACAGCAAACATCGCCCAGTTATCCAGGGACAACAAATAATATGTAGCCCAGCGTAGCAATCCCGTCTTTGTACTTGTTCTTCGGCTTGGCGCGCTGTAGGAAGTTGCATTCAGTTTTCGAAGTTTCTGTCCACGTCATTACGTCCCTATGAAATGATCGGTGCGCTTCAGGGGTTTCCGAGATTCAAAATCTTAAATTGGCGGGTTGCTCACGCTGCTCCAGGCGAAATCCGCGCAGGTCAGCCCTGGTTCGCCAGACCAGTCTGGTATTTTCCCGTACCTGCTACTCCCAAACCTTGCTCTTGCCCAGCGTCCCGTCCTGCTTTGGTGACCGACCAGAGAAGCTTGCCCCCTTGCTTGTTCCGTTCCGACCGAACCAGTCTCCGCAACCAAAGCGTCGTGGCGCCCCCAAACACACAACCAAGGTATGGATAGAGGCCTGGAGGTGCCCGCCTGGTCTTGTGCAGCTGCTCGCGTACATAGCCTGGGCCACCCGATTCCCCTGCAGCACCAATCTGCTTTCGTTCGGGGTAAACCACCACAGCTTCGGCTCTGGCCAGTTCCTTGATCATCCATTTTTCAAGCTGAGCCCTCTGAATTGGTGGTTAGTTCCCTCGCGTCGTTTTCTCGTAATCGAGGGCGAGAGCTGTTGTTTTCAGGGCCTTTCTTAATTAAGCTAGTACCTCATAGTACAGCGAGTGCTTTTGCGATACACGAGATGGAATGGTCACGAGTGTCAGAGTACTCGAGCATTGTACCGTGCGAGTACTCTAACGTCATCTACCTATCGCCCCCCTCCGACGCGTCGCCGCAACTCCGTCACAAATGCAAGCACACGTGCAGCATTCAGCATGTCTTCGCCAACCTTTTCAGGTATGGTATTCAGCTTTTATGGGCTCTTGCAGAGTCGTATTCTCCTTGTCGTCTCGTTTCTGGAGACTCCACTCCCACTCTCGCATCAACCTTCTGCTTTTCCCACCTTCGTCGTTTCTCCCCTTGCGCTCAGGTGTTTGACGAGCAACACTACTCATGTGTGCGACAGAAACTGCAACCAGAAAATACTGTACGACAACCATAGCAGCATCTGCATGGTCAGTCGCAACGTCGTACCGTTGACGGATGCAGAGAAGGAGCTCGTGAGAGCCTTTGGAAGGAAGAGAAGCATGGAAACGGCAGAGTCGTGCGGCCGGCAACGAAAGCATCGCTTTAGAAATCAGGGGGTCGCGGTCGCTGTTCCGTCCACCGGCGCGGGTTTTATGGCCGACACCATAATCACCGACGCGTAACAACCGAAATTAGCAAGGCTGGCACATGCGGCTATACTTTAGGACCGACTGCTTCCTCGCCGATACTACCCTGTGGCAGTGCAACCCTCACACATACCTTCTGACCCGTTGGGCCTCGTTTTCCCCCTTGAGCCCTGACGCTGTTCTCGAACTGACACTCTGGAGCAGAAACCCTGACGTGACCGTGAGTTCTCCAGTTTGACGTGGCATTGTACTCGTAGCAATGGCACGAACACCATGACTCAGCCGCTAGGCCGCCTCAGCCTGGCAGACGAGTCAAGTTTCTGGGATGACCTAATTGATGAGAGAAGTTGTTCCTCTTGACTGTTCTCTTTCTTTTCTCCTTCTAGAATAAGGGTTTGCTATGAGCGCCTTTCTATGCCACCTTGTTGTGATACCATTACTGTGTTTATTGAATCCGTTCTTTGGGATTTTGGATATAAGAGGGCGAACACGAAAGGAGAAACGAAACATGTATTAAGAAATGTGTAGGATATGAATTATATGGAAAAGTTGCACTATATACGGTATCATTGTTTTGTTTCCTATATTTGAAGATTTCCTTTTCTTTTTCAGTATAAGACCATGTGGTCTAGGTATCAGGAGCAGGATGTGCTAATTAGACCATTTCCTTTTGACTGGTAGTACCAGACCCGATTTTCCAGCCAGCAGACCTCTGTTTAGCCTGAAATGGTTACACTGGTTTAGCCTGTCAGAAATTTTGACACACCGGTATCAGTTTCATTCCTCCGTATTATATTGTAGTAGACTGCAGACTTGCCAGCATGTCTGCTTATCATGAAACTGGTAGTACTCTGTAATCATGCTTGTTTCTGTATATCGCATATTTCTGTCGGTGCTAAGTTGCTGTCGGCTCCTTCCGCACGATACCGCACCTTCTTCTATCGGGTAGTCCTCATCCAGGTCCAGCTGCAGCGTCGAACACCCATCCCACTATCCACACACACCCGTCCGTCCCCAGCGTGCGTCGAAGGGCTGACGGGAACACTGCAAGAAGCTCCACTTCTTCCTTCCTGCCTGCCTCCATTCCTCGTAACATTTTTGCTAAACACGCATGCCCTTCGGCCCTCACCAGAATTCGGGGATTTGGGCTGGGAGTGGCCTCCACCACTTGCTCTCGGATCTCGCCAAGCTTCCGTGCTTATCTTCTTACTTGTTTCTGTGCGCGCTGACTTTCGCTCGCGGCGTGTAGCTATTCTTACGAGTTTTTTGATTGATCAAATTAGGTAAGCTGCCTGTATGTGACAGTTGCAACGAGTGCATCCTCTCTTCCTCCTCTTTTTGCCGTCGTACCTACTTTTTCGTCTATTACACGTCATCGTCACCGTTTTCCATCGGGCTATTCGACGCGCTTCTACTGCTCCTCGACTACCTTTTTCTCTGTAGTCTCGTGTGCGTCTAGACCGGCATCGTTTTCCCGTCCCACATCCCTGATTCGTCTTTCCCCACAGCGTCGAACCTTTAGCGGCGCGTAGGGAGGCGGAATACTTTGCCGTCGGGCAAACGCACTGCGTTGAACGTTCGAGAGGCCCAGAAAGGTTGGGAGGGCGACTGTGCTTGGCGCGAGGGGTGGGCAGCATGTCGGGCGCGTCGGTGACGATGAACGTGATGCTCGCGGTGCACTGCAAGCGCGCCGCGCCGCTGGAGCTGCATCGCCACCTTAAGGCGTACATCCGTTCGCAGTACTCCGACCGCCACGCCACCGACGCCGACGACGACCTCCAGGTCCGCGCACCTCACCTCCCCCGCTCCGGCGCCCTCCCGCGCGCGCTGCATTTCATACCCCACCTCGCGTTTCCGCCTCCCCTCTCTACTTCCTTCCGACCCTGAGCTTCTTCCCTTCTCCCCTCCCTCCCCCCCCCCCCCCCTCTTTCCTTCCCCCCACCCGGCCCACCTTCCTCCTCTCCCCTCTCCGCTTCCCCCGTGCATCCCGCCATCCAGCTGGTGCAAGCATGGCGGCGCGAGATTGAGAAAGGCAGCAGCGAGTCGCTGGAGGCGCGGCGCGAGGTGCTGCTCAAGTACATGCGCGCGCTGACGGTGATGTCGTCGCGCTTCCCCATCGCGCCCGACACGCAGCACCTCAACCAGCTCAACTTCACGTGGTTCGACGCCTTCGCCAGCTCCAAAAAGGTGCGCGCGCCCACGCGCTCAGGGGTTCCCGCGTGATGCACGGGCGGGCGGCGCAGGATGTCTAGGGGCCAGACGTCGGGGTAGGGCGGTCAGAGCATTGGGGGGGAGGGGGAGGAAGGACGGGGAATCTTTGTGCATATCGCAGCGGGAGGTGGCCGTGACTCCCGTGCTGCCTCATGCTTGCATGCGCTGCCACCACCAACCAACCGCGCGCTTTGCCTCCCCCCTCCCTCCCCATACTCTCCCGCCGCCCTCTCTGCGGTCGTCCCTGCGCGCGCCAGGCGTCCCAGACGAACATCCACTTCGAGCGCGCCGCCATCGCCTTCAACATCGCCGCCACGCTCTCGCAGATCGCGCTGGCGGCGGACCGCTCCACGGCGACGGGGCTCAAGGCGGCGTGCAACGCGTTCCAGGCGGCGGCGGGCGCGTTCGCGTACCTGCGCGACAACATCAGCGGAAAGGCGCTGGCGGGCGGCGGAACGTGCACGACGGACATCGCGGGCGAGACGGCGGGGATGCTGGAACGGCTGATGCTGGGGCAGGCGCAGGAGTGCTTCTACGAGAAGGCGCTGGGCGAGGGCAAGCCCAACCAGATCTGCGCGCGCATCGCGCAGCAGGTGCGCGCGCCGCGTTCCAAGCGCTACTCCTTGACGTCCTCTTTCTCCGCCCCTTCTCGGCGCTTCCTTCTTTCCGCCTGCCCTCCCCGACTCATTTCTTCCGCATCTCCCTTCCCACCCCCCCACCCGCCAACGCGCTCCCTTCCCCCCACCCGGCCCCCCCATGCGTGGCGGCGCAGGTGGCGATGTTCTACGAGGAGGCGCACGCGGCGCTGCTGCTGCCGCCGCTGTCGGCGCACTTCGACCGGCAGTGGGTGGCGAACGTGCTCTTCAAGGCGCGCCACTTCCACGCCGAGGCGCTGTACCGCGCCGCGCTCGACCTGCACGCGCGCGAGGAGGTGGCGGAGGAGATCGCGCGGCTGACGCACGCCAAGGCGCTGCTGGCGGAGGCGCGCAAGGGCAGCAAGGGCGTGATGCAGCCGCTGGTGGACGCGGTGATGAAGCTGGAGGGGCACGTGCTGGCCAACCTCGCCAAGGCCGAGGCCGAGAACGACCGCGTCTACCTCTACCGCGTCCCCGCCTACGCCTCGCTTCCGCCCATCGCCGCCGCCGCGCTCGTCGCCGCGACGCCGCTGGCGCCGCTGCTGGACGCGACGGGCGAGCGGCTGCTGGCGGGGCTGGTGCCGGACGGCAGCGCCAAGGAGCTGTCGCGCTACACGGACATGGTGGACGGCATCATCCGCTCCCAGGTCCGCGCGCATGCCCCCGCTCCCTCGCTTCTGCCGCCTGCCCACTTCCTTTTGCTCTCTCTCAGTCGCTGCCCCTCGTCTGCCTCCGCATCCTCGGGTGTTATTCCTGACCTCCCATTCCCGTTTTCCGCGCCACCTCGCGCATCCCCCCGCCCGTGCGCGCGTGCCCGTGGTAGGTGGAGCGCATGGAGCGGTCGAGCGAGGAGGCGAAGGCGCGGCTGCGCGAGCTGGCGGTGGCGGACGTGCTGGTGGCGCTGGACGGCGACCTCGCGCCCTGGGTGCCCGCCAAGCTGCGCGACGACGTGGAGGCCGTGCACGTCAGCGGGGGGCCCGCGGGGCTGCCGGGGGAGCTGGCGCAGCTGCACGACCTGCGGCGCGTGAACGAGGAGCTGCTCGTCGCCGCCGAGGAGACGCTGCAGCTCGAAGCCGCGGACGACGCCGCGCTGCGCGCGCAGTTCGGCACGCGGTGGGCGCGGCCGCAGAGCAGCACGCTGACCAAGAGCCTCAAGGAGCGCGCGACGGCGTTCGCGGGCAACCTGAAGCAGGCCAAGGAGAGCGACGCGCGCATCGAGCGCGACCTGCGCGACTGCTCCGACATGCTGGGCGTGCTGGGGCACAGCAAGGTGCGCGGGGCACAGCAAGGTGCGCGGGGAAGGTTGGGGAGGAGAAGGGCAGGTGTAGGAGTGAAGAAGGATTGAGGCGTAGGTGGCATGCGGCAGGCGAGGGGGCAGTAGCGTGGTGGTGGTAGAGGGGCGAGCGGACAGCAGTGGGGACGAGCACCGGGTGTGTGCCTTTGCCCTCGTTGCTCCCTCATTCTCGCACCACATTCAGCAGCTCTCTGTGGTGTGGCATGTGGCGTGACATGTGGCTTCATATGGCATGGCATGGGGCATGGCATGGGGCATGGCATGGGGCGAGTGGGCATGGGTGGCAGGTGGAGGACGCCCTGCCGCGCATATCGCGGCCCATCCTGGCAGTGCATGGGGACGACCATGCCCTCGTCGCCACCATCCGTCAACTGCTCGTAACCCCCGCTCCCACGCACCTTGCTTCCCTGCCTCTGTGTTGCCCACCATTGCTCTGTCGCCCTGCATTCTTCTCCTGCCATCCGACGCTCCTGCCTGCTTCTCACCACACATCCCTTTGCTCCCTCTTTCCTCTCCATACCGCATGGCCCTCCCTCCCCCACATGCGCTTCACACGCACGTCGCACACTCGCTGCACCCTCCCTCCCCCCCTCTCCGCTGTCCCCCTCTCTTCCCCCGTGTGCTGTGGGGGCGGGCAGGCGGAGCTGGAGAAGGTGGGGGCGCAGAGGGCGGGGTTGGAGGAGGGGCTGCGGGAGATGAGGGCCAAGGACAACATCCTGCCGCAGCTCATGAACGCGCCAGGCTCGCACGAGGAGCTGTTCAAGAAGGAGGCGGGCAAGTACGACGCGCTCTGCCACCAGGTGGACGCCAACATCGCCCAGCAGCGCTCCTCCATGCAGCAACTCGAGGTACCGCGGTGGGGGGGCGTTGCGGGGGAATGGGGGAACGGAGCATGTTGGGGGAGGGGACACACATGGGGTGTGGAAGGGACGGGAAGGAGGGTGGTTTCAGTGTGCAGACAAGGGGTTTGGAATGGGTGGGGTGGAATGGCGGAGTGGTGAGAGTGAGAGGGTTGTGGTGGGATTAGTGCAAGCACACATCTGCACTGCACGCTCCTCCCGCTCTCACGTGCTGTGGGTGCTGCCTGTTTGTGCCTCTCCCACACCCCATGTGTGCCGCCATGCACCACGGGTGTCCCATGCAGGCGCAGTACCAGCTGTTCTCACAGGCATTCAACATCCCCGAGTGGAAAGGTGCGTGCTCTCCGCATGAAGCCCTTGCCTCGCCCATCTCCCCCCGCGCACTCAGCTTCCACTCTCCTGCCCCCTCACACACCCTTCTCTCACCGTGCCCTGTGCCCGCCGCTGCACAATGCCCCAGCGATTTTTGAGTCGGCTCAAAAGTCGCCCTGTGTCCACACCCATGCTTCACAGCCATGCCCATGTGCTTTCATGTACCCTTCTCATCTCTTGTTGACAAACATGCTTGTGTGTGTGTGTGCTTGGGTGCATGGGTGCATGTGTGTGTGAGGGTGGAGCAGCGGAGGTGGGGCGGGTGGTGAAGCGCATGGAGGGGGCGGTGAGCAAGTACCAGGAGCTGCGCTCCAACCTCAACGAGGGCCTCAAGTTCTACGTCGCCCTGCAGGTAACCCCAACCCCACCACTCCCGCCCTCGCCCCTCCCCACTCTCCCCACTCTCCCCCTCTTTCCGCCTCTTCCCGCCCCTTCTTCCCCCTCGTCGCCCTCTCCCCCCTCTTCCCTCCCCTGCCTGCTCATCTGTCCCCTTGGTCCCTAACCGCACGCCTCACGAAGCAGTGCCCCCGTGTGCCCCTCCACTCCTGCCCCCTCCCACGGTGGTGGGAGAGCAGGACGCGATAACAGCGTTGAAGCAGCAGTGCAGCGACTATGTGATGACGCGCAACATGCAGAAGGCTGACCTCATCGCCGACCTGCAGCGCCACCTCGCCGGCCTCTCCCTGCGCGACCAAGCCCCCCCCGCCGCCGCCGCCGCTCCCGCCCCTCGTGCTGCAGCTGCGCCCGCGCAGGTAGCAGCGCCGGCAGGGGGGAGATCACCGGGGGGTGGTGCATACCTGGGGGCACCGCAGGGGGCGGCAGCAGCGGGTGGGCAGGGCCGGCCTGTGAGCCCCAAGGGCGGAGGGGGCCCGCTGCAGTTCCTGCAGCAGCACCTGCCCTTCTTCAACAACCAGAACCAGCAGCCCCCGCCCCAACCGCCCCACCCCGTTGCCCCCGCAGGCGCTTATGCACCCCCTGCTGCTCAACCCCCTCAGTATGCAGCAGCCGCAGCAGCAGCAGCAGCAGCCGCCGCCGCCGCAGCAGCAGCAGCAGCAGCAGCAGCATGCAGGCGGGCAAATGGGGTACTACAGCCAAGCAGGGCCGCCCGCCCCTGGTGGTGCGGCCCCTGCTCCATACTACATGCCGGCGCCACAGCAGCAGGCAGCGGCGCCCCATGGTGGGTACTACTCCACGGGGCAGCCTGCCCCCGCCCCCGTGTACGGGCAGGCGCCAGTGCAGCAGGGCGCACAGGGGCAGGCGCAGTGGAGCGGAGGGTACCACCCCCAGGCGTACGGCTCCCATGCACCGCAACAAATGCCGCCGCCCAACCCCTACCAGTACCCCCCTTCTGGAGGTTACTGATGCCTCCCCTCTCTAGTGCTTTCTTCCTTCCCTCGTCGCTTGTCTCGTGTGTTCCACCTACCGGTAATCCTGCCCCACCGTACTGCACCGCACTGGCTAGGTCATGCAAAGTTGCCATCTCATGTGCCATACCATACCACATTCCTGCTTGCACGTGTAGCTTATAGGCCCTTAGGTTGTTAGTACCATACTTAATTGAGTGTTGCAAGGTTCTGCCTCAGTCATTCTTGATTACTTAGGATTGAATTGCAACTTCAACTCAAAACAGTTCCCTAGTTAGAAAGAAACAGAGCAGGTTTTGCGGATCTAAGGATTCTACAACCAGGTGCCTCAAGCGTGGGCTGAGCAATGCAATCACAGATGGTGTAGCCTGACTCGCCAGTGAAGCTGCACCATGGCAGGTGAATGAGAGCCATGGCCGCACACACCATCCCCTCATCATGCTGCCGCTGCTGCACTCCATCCACCTGTCATCCAGGCGCATGTCACAGGAGCATGAGCGTGGCCACGCCCCGGGCCCTCAGCTGCGCCTGCACCGCCATCATCTCCTCCTCGTACGCCCGCTCGTCCACCGGCCCTCCCCTGCTGCGCACGCCCCATGCCACGCCACAGTGTGTGCAGTGCTGCTCAGGGCCTAGAGCAGGCGCGCCTGTGGGGGAGTGGCACGTGTTCCGCAGCTCTAGGCGCTGCAGTGCAGGCAGCATGGCGGCCAGGGCAGCAATGTCACGCGGTTCGTGAGCAACACACTCCAGTGTCAGTGACCGCACCGTGGGGTGCAGCACCCGTGGGTACTGCCCACCCTGCCCGCGACTCCCTGTTGCTGCCCCTGCTGCTTCCTCAAAAACGGCATCTTTCTCCCCCGCATTCCACCCCTCGTCCCTCACCCATGGTCCCACCTCCCCCCCCAACCCTCTCTCCCCCGCGCCCCTCACGCCCCGCTCACTGGCCCGTGCGCCTGGGCCCAGCACAGCAGCGGCCAAACCGTGCAGGCAGGCGGCAGCGAGGTGCAGGTGGTGCAGGCAGGTGCACTTGGCGAGGGGCAGCAGGTCCAGCAGCGCCAGCCGCCCCATGTGCAGCGCCAGCGATGCCAGGTGGCGGCGCCATGCGATCACGAGCAGGAAGATGGAGGGGCGCGAGAGGGCCGCGGGGCACAGGCAGGTGAAGGCTCGCACGTGGCGGAAGCTGGCGGTGAGGAACCAGAGCGCACGCAGCTCGATGAACGCGAAGGGCGCCCACACCACGCGCCCCCGCTCTCGCTCTTGCTCTCGCTCTCGGCCGCGTGCGGGCGCTGGTGCATGGTGAGCCACCAGCTGGTGCGCGGTTGTGGGCGCGTGGGCAGGGGGCGGGCGGATATCGGGGCTGTATGCAGGAGGAAGGGAGGAGTAGTGGCAGGAGGTGGGGGCGACGAGCTCAATGGTGCGCACGTTGGTGCAGTGCACACTGCCATGGCGCACGGGAGAGAGGGAGATGCAGGCATGGGAGGATGAAGAGAGGTCCATGTACTTGCATGGGGCAAAGGCTTGACACGACACTGTGCATGACAAGGCAAGGCTCCATATGGTGACTAAGTGTGGAGCTTCGGGCAGAGCTGGACAAGGGTGCAACAAGAAGCGTGGTGGGCGCGTGCGTGACGCACATGTTTGTGGAAGACACGTGGTGAAGGGCACTGACCTGAGCACCCACAGCATGCTGCACACGGACGCTTCTCTCAGGTCCTCCGCACCCGCTGCACTCTCCGCCTCCATGGCCCCCCAGTCCGCTGCGCGCCCACCCCCCGCCCCCATGTGCTGCAGCCCCGCCATCCCCCCCAGCAGCGCAGCAGGGGCGGTGGGGGGTGCGGGCGGGTCGCAGTTGATGACGAGGCGCGTGAGGGAGAGCGCGGCGGCGGCGATGATGGGGTGCAGCAGGTGCACGGCGCACAGCGGGTCGTCCACGTACAGCTCCTGCAGCCCCGCGCACCGCGCCGCCAGCTGCTCCACTCCTGCCGCCCACGCACGTCAAGAGGGGATGGGGAACAGGGGGGACGAGGAGGGAAAGAGATGGCGTTGTGGAGTTGGGATGGTGGGAAGGAGTTGGAAGCTCTTTTCGTAGAATCATTTGACACCGCAATTCAGCGCATGGATACCGGGACACGGAATTCATGCGTGGCGCATACGGAGTAGCACGAACAGAGGTGTGGCGCGCTGCACCGACGGCGCGCACCTGGTCGGATGCTGTGCGGCTCAACGCGCAGGCGCTGCCAGAAGGGCGCGGAGTAGCACAGCGCCTTCCACCCGCGCGCCACGCACGCGAGGCGGCAGAGGTCCCACGCGGTGGGGCGCGAGCAGAGGATGATCCTCAGCAGCAGGTCGTCGCTCAAGTCCGCCATTGAGGTCCGCCGCCGCGCCTGCTGCTGCGAGTGGTTTGCGGACAGGCTGGCGCTCGCAGCGTCGCCACCGCCTCGTCCGCCGCCTTCCCCCGCGCCCGTCGACCCGGCGCTACCCTCCGCCTGCGCGCAACCCGTTTCTGCCAACTCGTTCTCCTCAGCTGGCGGAAATCGCGGCCTTAGGAAAGAGGCTGGAGGCGGCACGAGCGCGGGAATCGTGTAACGGCGGTCGGGAGCGGCGATGTGAGCGTGCGATGCGGCTTCAAGAACGACGGACTCGCCAGGCATCGTCGAACCCGCCTCTTCAAGGCAAGGAGCGGCGCGGTCGACTATGCTAGCGGCGAGTGCGGCGTGGTTATGGTGATGGGCTGCGGGAGACGAGCTTCTCGCTCGCTTTCGACACGGCGCGGCACCCGCGCACTGTCCATCGTTGAGCGCAGCGTGCTTCATTATGTCGTGAGACGGCATCAAGTGCGACGGCGGGATCGCAAAGGAAAAGCATCTGGAGGAAGGAGTGGCGAGTTAAAGCTGAGATAAGAACTCGTAGGAAGGAGGGGTTTAAAAAGGACTCGACGACGCAGTGAATGGCCATCCTGCTGCTGATATGCAATGCACGGTGGCTCGAGGAAGGAAGCAAGGCTGCGAGCAATAACCCCTCTACTGAGCGAGCAGGCTGCTGCAAGATCTGTGACCATGAGCCGGCGAGCAGCGCCATCATGACGAGCCACTCTGTGCTGCTAGTGTGGTGTTCGGGGCACCACGCCAACATGGCGCGCACGGCGTGCTGGAGTTTATTCGAACATCAAGCTGGCGGTACAAGGGATGTGTAACAAAGGATGGTAGGGGTAGTGAATATGCCGCGAATCCCGCGATGCGGTGTGTGATGGAGGCGCACATAATCGGCCCCTAAGCTGCAATCTCTGCTGCGGTGCTGGATGTCGGGACTCTCCAATGCAGGTAGATTTGATTTGCGCATCTCGCTGCCCGTCACATCGTGACGTAGGGCTGGTTTGCTTAGTGGGATTCAGGAGGACTCAGACTGGGAGAGTCTGGTCTGTGGTGTGGACCTGGACCCTGGTGGGCTGGTGTTGCTGGCGGGTTACAATTCAATAGTGTACTGTATCCCTTTTCAGGCTGGTAGGCTGGTGAGTGGCGGTTCAGAACGGTGAAGCGAACTCATCGCTCTCTACCTCGACCACCGAACCCCCCCCCCTACTTCCCCCAAGAAAAGGTGCCTCCTTCCTTCGAGGACGAATGAGACAAAAGAATAACCGTTCCTGGATACGAGAATCACTGTACACAAATAACCACATGATGTGTTTTTTTGTAAGATCTGCATTTCGGAAACGAAGGTGCCTGTAACGCAGTTTTTGAAATTACCCAGAACAAAGAACAATGTTTAAATTCTAGTCTATAAAAGATCCTAGCATTTTCTCACCTTAACAGATCAAATGGACCATAGCACAGTAAAAAAAGACTCTAGGACAAAAACTATTTCTGATCTCAGATGCCACATTATCCCAAGCAATAGAAACATGTGCCATAGCCATGAAGTGAGTTCCAATGCTCACAGCCATAAGCACAGCTATAGCACGTAGGGAAACGAAACACTAATTATTCCTATGTCGAATGAGCATCTTTAAATTCTGCGTGCTAGCTCAAGCTTGTCTTGTGTGAATGAAGCCAACCATAATGACAAGCAAAAGTGCTCAGTAAGCCAGGGGATGATGGCAAATGGCCGAAGCAGCCAAGGGTGTGGCGACTAAGAGGCACTGATGGCTGTGTCAAGGGCAACACAGAGAAAGGTCAGCACAAAGGATTAACACACACGGTGGAACAAGCAGGCTGCTGAGGGACACAACACCTACCCGGTGAGCAGGCTATGACATTCCATTGAACATTGTGCGGTTCAAAAACAGCTGTGGAGGCTGCTGCTGCTGTTGTTGCTGCTGCTGCCCTCCTTGCCCCATGAAAGATAGTGATTGTCCTTGTTGCTGTTGCTGTAAAAGTGCCAGAAGCTGTTGTTGCTGTTGCTGTTGCTGTTGCTGCTGCTGATGATGATGTTGCTGCTGCTGCTGCTGCTGTTGTTGTTGCTGCTGCTGCTGCTGCTGCTGCTGCTGGGCGGCGAGCAGGGCCTGCACGGCCTGGGGCTGGCTCTGCAGCAGTTTGAGCAGCTGGCCGATTTGTCCGTCCACAGACAAGGAGCCCTGCGGCGATGGTGGGGCGCCGCCTGTGGGGCTAAGGGGCGGGTGCGAGGCAGCAGCCGTGAGCGCGTTGGGAGTGGAGGGCGCGTTGCCCATGGGCGAGAGTGGCGGCAGCCCTGCAGCCTTGCGCAGCACCTCCACCTGGTCGTGCAGGTGCTTGTTCTCCACTGCACACCACACATGCCGCCCCCCGTTGCACCCACACACCACAAGGAAAAGGCGAATTCGGGGAGAAGCCAGGGGTAGAACGTGAGAAATGGTGCAGATAGGGGGGAAAGGAAGGGAGCGAGGGAGTTGAAGGGACGAGGGGCGACGAATAGGAGAATCACTGAAGGACAGGGTGTAGGGAGGGAGGGGCGAGCGCAGTGCGCTGTGATCGGAGCAGAGCGGCTAGGCTAACGGTTCACACAGCCCTATAGCCAAGGGGCGAG